CATATTCCCTCCGAACGTAAAGAGCCTTATACCCGAGACCTCAGCCATCAAGTCAGAAACGCCGCAACAACAGCCCTTATCCACCCAACACTACACCAGCTACCAACCCCCACCATCTTTTAATCTTGGTCAGATATCCTCGACTCCAAACGGCCGCACAACCACAAGCCACACACCGCAGTTTTCATCACATTCTCATTCCGAGATGGACGCTGCAGAAGCACAACTCCTCGGCGAGAGCAGCCACCAGCCGCGCACAACGATAGATCTGGCAGGCAACCAGTACGAAGAAGACGACGGCTACGACACCGACCCACCCGCACATTACCCCAAAGCCGGCAACGGTCTCGCACGAACACTACGGCCAGAGAGCGAAGATCTTAATTGGCTTGTCGACGACAACTTTGAGGTGTTCAGCCATAGTTACCAGGGAGACGGGACAGGGCTGGGCGCTGATGGCACGCTAGATGGTATGGGAGATGGACAGAAAGTAGTTTAGGATGCTGCTGGAGAAGCATCTGCTAAGGAAACCGGTGACGATGAGCTGTCGGATATGGATAGCGAGGATGTGGAGCGCTTGGTCGCTTTCACCAAGGGCACAGAGCAACCTTCACTAAGGGACCTCTTGACGCATCGAAAGTGAAGCTCGAGAAGCATGCATACAGTAATACAACTCAGCGTTATAGTCAGTCACCTTGCAATTGAATAGTTCAGGTGAAACAAAGCTCCTTGTATTATCCAGGAAAATTAAACAGAAAGCGTGGTATCTCGAGAAGTATAGCTAAGCAAGAACCGGGCCTAAAACGGCCATATTAATCCAAAACGCCAACCCGTGCATAACCTCGTTACGAAGCCATTAACGTCGTCACTCATTCATCGTCGATGCCGTATCCCCCCAACGTGCTTTCAGGATCTTGCCACTTCTTGCTCTTCAGAATCCTCATCTTCTTGATCGGACTCGCAGATCGCTGCATCGTCTCGCGCTCACTGGCCTCTAATCTGGCCCGCAGCATCTCGTTTTCTCGCTCCAGTTCGTCGACCCTGTCGCGGAGTTCAGGGTCTGGGTCTTCGTACACCTTGATCTCTTGCTTCATCTGGGCCTTGGTCGCTCGGATGACGACGTCGATCTTGGAGTCGATGTGCGCTTGCTGGTTGTCTTGTTCGTTGTCTAGGGCAGTCTGCCATCTTCGGCGTTCTTGTTCGACCGCAGCTTCCATCTCGAGATAGCATTCGTCGCGGATCTCTTGCTCGAGGTCCACCATGTGGTCTTCGGCTGCGGCCCAGGAAGATTCAGCTGCTTTCCTGCGAGCTGTCTCCTCGGTGAGGCGGAGAGCGAAGATTTCGATTTCCGAGGTAAGGCGTGCGATTTCGGCGTTGGCATATTCAAGCTCCTCCATTACAACCGAGGGCGTTGTGCGGCCTGAAGGGGTTGCGCGTCCCGAGGAGGCTGTACCAGGGCGCTTGAGAGGTACACCGATTGTGTCGGAGGTGGATGGCATTCGTGGCACGGTAACCTCGCGAGCGAGAGCGGAGTAGCGGAGAATCTGCGACGTGGCATTGTAGTCGCCTTTGGGGTCTGCCGTTACGACCATAATGGACTTTTGAGGCTGACGGTGCGATTGTGCTTGACGGGCGGAGGCAGGGAACGAATTCGAGAAGAGGAGCTCCGTGAGTTTGCACTGGCGGAAGGGCACAATGTTCTGAGAGCATGTTAGTTGAAGAAACGATGAGATGGGCGGGTACACGCACCTTTGAGCCTCCTTGGTTGTCAGACTGCATCTGCATGCACTGACCCAGATACATGAGGGACTCGTTGATCTTGCCAGCTTCCGCAAGCGTCTCACCCGCGGTCTTAGCATTTCGGGCACGCTCTGAACCTGCCAGGTCGACGATGGTAAGGTTACTGCTGGACCATGGATCTTGGCGTTCTGCGTCTCTCTTCTTGATCTCAATGTGAAAAAAGCCATGACTCCGCGAGCTCACAGCATTGCTTCCAGTGCCAGTGACCTTGCGCTCCATCAGACCTGTTTCCAGCACCATCATAGCTTCCTCGAAGCTTCCGCATATGATCTTGGTGAGGCCAGCGACGACCTTTCGGTCTGGACTCTTCTCGGTGCTCTTGAAGAGGAGCGCCCTGCGCTTCACGTTTGGCTGTTTGTTCTTCAAGGCGTTTCCGCTCAACAGGTCGAAGATGCGGTCGTTGTAGACTTCGTACATTGACATGACGATTGCGTATTCTGCGCTCGGGTCTGTGGGTATCTGGATATCGGCCACCGAGGGTGATTGTGGGAGTGTAGACGGACGTGGCATTTTGTTTGACTTGTATGTGCTTCCTGTGGAGAATATACTACAATCCTATTGCTCTATTAGCACGCGTTCCTCAAGTTCTGCATTATCCAGTATCAAATAGGGTTGGACTTACTGCCACGGGGGTTTGCGCTCGTGAATAGCGTCCCGACGGGTTGTTGTCGCCATACATATTTTCAATGTATGCGGTTGCGGTGTACATTTGTGCTTCTGACACATCTGCATTTGCGAGCGAGGAGTACGCCGGGGCGCCATAGAGGGATTGTACGAGCTGCTCGTCGCATGCTTGGAAGATGGCGTCCAGTGTCATCTGAACGAGGCCGCGCTGGGATTTGGTGCCAAGGATCGTGTGACTCTGTGAGCGCATTAACATGTGAGATGCAGACTTGCAGGCTTCGTTCAAGAGATGCATACCTTTCCAGAGCCAGTGCAACCCAGCGTTGCAAGAAGTCCATCTCGGCCGTGGTGGCCTGGTGCGCCCATGACACCTTCAATCATGGGAGCCACACCAGTGCCCTTGAATAGATCCATTTGTCGCGCATCTTCCTCAAAGACTTGCGTGAAAGCGAACCGTTCAACAGCGCGCTTGCGTTTATCTTGGGTTGGCGGTTGTATCGTAATATGAGTTGGATGATGGCTCTCGCTCTCTTCGACGCTGAGGAAGCGCGCACTTCCAGAGTTGGAAGGGCGCAGGCGCAGAAAGACATCGAACAGCGAACTTGAGGGTCGTGTTGGCGGCTCCATTGTGACTATGTTTTGTTTCTGGTTTGGCGATGCAGGCAAAATGTCAGTCGACGTTGGTGTACCAGATGCATGTGGAGCCGCTCGTGCACGCGCCCGTGTCGGTCAACATGGCCAGAACGCCGTTGCCCTGGACAACCGTCGCGTCGCCCATGACACGCTGTGACGTAACGCCATGCGATCGCGCGGGGATGCGGAGTACAAAGAAGCTCGCTCTTTAGTCTCGAACTACCCTACTTTACAACCTACTAGCTCACCAACCTAAAATAGTGTAAATTTATTTCCTCCAATATGGACAGCCTCCCAGCCGAAATACTTCTCTGTATCGCTGAGTGCAGTACCACCCTGCCAGAACTGCTCAAGTACAGACGCATCTCGCGCCGTTTCAAGCAAGTCGTCGACACCAAGTGCAAACCTCATGCTTTGTACCTGCTGCGCCGCAAATCCATTCCGATAGAAGTTGACGACGCACTACTTGCTATCCGCCTGAAGCGCATACCCTGGGAGTCATGCTGCCATTACGACCACGCACGAGGCGACTATTCTTTCTACCCTTCAAAAGACTTCTTCGAGGCCGTTCTGAATGAGACTGAAGTGCCGCCAGGCTGTCCCTCTATTCCAGCCGCAACTTGGTTGCAAGAGGTCGAGGCTGTCATGGACCTGTACCTGTTGGTGTTGGCCTATATGTCTACCGGCCAGCACTGTTCATTGAACATCCAACAGCATTACCTTGGGGGCTATTATCTTGAACAAATTGACTCGCCCTACGAATGGCCAAAGCCCCAGACAGAAGCCATGATCCGGTCGCACTTCCGCCTGTTTGTCTTCACAACTGTGTACGCACCACGTGTTTTTGTTGAGCCTCTTGCCAGCATTTCAGCTATAATGGACAACACTCCGATACCGGACGTCACTGCTATAACGGAACACCGGGTAGCTTTATTGATGGAAGAAATGGCGAAATACCCTGTGTTTCAGAAGTTGCAACTGCCCTTGGAGGAAAGAACAACACATCCGCTCCTTGATGGCTTTTTTGAGTGGCTATACGCCCAGCCCGAACCTCGCGAATTCCTAGTGCTCCCTGATGGCTTCCAGGATCCAGCAAGTGGCCACCCAGGCGACCGCTTAATAAGGACTTTTCCAGGAGAAGAACGTCACCAGGTTGCCCTCATGCAGCTGTGGAAGATACACCAGATAATGGATGATCGAGAGTGCGGTAACGAACCAACACCTGAGTATCATGTTGCATCTCAATTCAACCCGATACAACCAGGGCTCACTGACCCAGCTACCGCCTATCGCCGACCCCTTCAAATATCGATTTGGTCTGAGCCCCAGCTCATTATCGAAAGTTGGACAGAAGACACCGCTTGCTCAGTGGTGCTAGAGGTTCCTGGAGAGACGCGTAAGGATCACATCAAGAGATTCGTTCTACTGAAGATGAATTATTCGGGGGGATTCAATGCCTTTAGCAGGGTGTTTGAGACTGAACTCAAGAACAGATTTGGCTTGAGATACGTTCCTCAAGAGGTGACATCTCTAGATATTGACTATGGCGTGTTGGACCCGAGACCTGAGTTGGAGGAATGGGAATAGGCTATGCAACGACTCCTCCGCTGCGTAAATTCGCCACTTCCTCTATACTCATCCCCAATGTATCACCGAGTATCTCGTCCGTATGCTGGCCTAGTGTGGGTGGAGGTAGTCGTATGCCTGGAGTTGAGTCTGACCATTTCACGGGCGTGTTGACTAGTTTAATCGGTCCACATGCCGGGTGCTCTATCTCTTTGACCATGTCTCTTGCGAGGACTACTCCAGATTAGCATCGATAAGAAACACTTATTCCAGCAGGAATAATATACATACCGTGTTCGTGGTTCAATGTATCCTGCACATCGTTGATAGCGGCGTACGCTGGAATCGTTAGCTAAGAACCCCAAGGCATACAGCTGTTACTTACGCATTCCACTTCCCTCGAGCACGTCGAGCAATTCCTGTGTAGTCTTCTTCTTCGTCTCCGTCTCAATCAAATCCTCTAGCTCGTCCCTATGCTGCACCCTCAACGCGTTCGTTTTGAACCTCTCATCGAGAATCCATTCGGGCCTTTCCAACCTGTTGCACAAAACTCCATACAACCTATCGTTTCCACCTCCCAGTAAGATATCTCCATCCGCCGTCTTGAACGCCTTGTACGGTACAATCGATGGATGCGAAGTTCCCCAGCGTCCAGTGTCACGTTTTCCGCTAATGAGAGTGGAGCTGGCAATATTCGCCAGAGTGGCGACTTGGCAGTCTGAAAGCGCGACGTCGATGTGTTGGCCTTTGGATTTGGGGTTTCTGAGGCGCCGGAAGAGAGCTGCCATGATGGAGTTGGAGGTGTAGAGACCGGTTGTCAGATCGGTTACTGCTACACCGACCTTGACGGGTGGGCCATCGCGGGTTCCGGTGATGTGCATTAGGCCAAATTCGCTGGTTTGTATTAGCATTGACATGGTGTTAGAAAGATGAGTGGGGGGATGTACGCTTCAACCATGACGTCGTAACCTGCTCTGTTTCTGTAGGGGCCTGTCTGGCCGTAACCTGTGATACTGGCGTAGATGATACCGGGGTTGATCTTTGACACGGTGTCATAGTCCATGGCGTACTTTGCTAGAGATCCTGGAAGATAGTTCTCGACAAGAACATCACATTCTTTGACTAGGCGATGCAAGATGTCTACACCAGCTGGGTGCTGGAAAGACAGGCCTATCGATCGCTTGTTACGGTTGACCTATTACCCGTGAGCCACGAAAGAGCCACGATAGGGGTGTTCCACTAACACCCAAGTAGTAAGCACTCTCTCCTGGTCCTTCTTGGTTGTCGGTGTACTTCGCGTAAGGTGGTCCCCATGCTCGTGTGTCGTCTAGGCGAATTAGCTGGGTTGGAGAGCAGCTTCAAATACCCCACTACTTACCTCCTCTTGTCGGATGCTCAATCTTGATTACGTCTGCTCTAAACCAACGTCAATCTCCAAGTCCTCTCATCGCCAACCTCGGTTGGGCCGTACAGGGCTATCCATCGCATACCCAAGATCGCCCAAGATTTGCGTGCAATATGGCTACTAGAAGTCAGTCGAGTTTCTCGCGAGTTCATGAATCATGACTCACTCCAGCAAGTACTCTTGTCATATCAAGCACTTTAATGCCGGCTAGAGGCAGGTTGGACGCATCTGCATTCGATGCCTCAGTTGCTAGCCGTCGAACATGGCTGGGTCGTGCCCAATTGGACCGTGGACATGTCACCGTCGCCTGGAAAGCGCGTCTCGAGCTTCTTAGCAGCATGCTTGCCATTTGGATGTGGTGTATGTAGAATCACGACATGTGCCGGGTAACGGAATGCTTCCACGGCATACCTATTCCCGACGATGGGCTAGCTCCAGTTCGGTGATCCGAGGCTCATCGCTAGCTGCAGAACCCCACCAAGTTTCTCTCTCCAATTACCCACCCCACCATGTTTACTGGTCTCGTTGAAACCATTGGCAGTAAGCTATGATGCATTCTATTCTATGCGCGGCTCGGCTGACGATGGCTAGCTGTTGCCGCCCTTGAGAAGCTCGACCAGACGGCCTCGGGAGGCGGCGGCACATCGTTGACCATCTCCGGATGTGAGGACATACTGGGTGACGCCCATCTGGGCGACAGCATCAGTGTCAATGGTACGTTGGTACTACTATAAATCATCTCTTGGTCTAATCCAACCAGGCACCTGTCTCACCGTCACGGAATTCACCAAGTCATCGTTCAAGATCGGATGCGCTCCCGAAACCCTCCGACGGACAAACTTGGGGTCGCTGAAGGAGGGCTCCAATGTCAACCTAGAGCGCGCCGTCTCTGCCAACACACGCATGGGCGGTCACTTCGTGCAAGGACATGTCGACACCATCGCCACCATCGAGTCGGTAACACCGGACGGCAACGCGCTTACCTTCCGCTTCAAGCCTCGCGATACGTCGGTCCTGCGATACATTGTCGAAAAGGGTTATGTCACAATCGACGGGGCTAGCTTGACGGTCACAAAGGTGCAGGATGGCCCTGACGGCTGGTGGGAGGTCATGTTGATTGCCTACACACAAGAGAAAGTCGTCACGGCAAGCAAGAAGCCGGGCGAGGACGTCAATGTCGAGGTCGACCAGGTCGGCAAGTACGTCGAGAAGAGCGTAGCTGGATACTTTGAAGGGTCATCGAATGGAGAATTCGCGATACTGGAGAAGATGGTTTCGAAGCTGGTAGACGAGAGGCTGAAGGCTCTTGGGAAGTGATGGACATGCTGAACCATCGGCTGCTACGCGTACGCGCACGCGCAGGCAGGCTCTCAGCGCCAAGATCGAGGGTTTGCCGTCAATGCCGCAGAAGTCATGGCCCCACATTAGTAACCAACCAAAACAAATCATTCAACTTCAGTTATATGGTTGCCTCGAAAGGGGCTCATGGGTGAGACTTGCAGCCCCATTGCGGTGGTGGCTTGGACAGAATGAGGCGCAGCCTTGGTCTCGTCCAATACATATATATCTACATGTCTATCCCATCATTCCAAAAGACACTTCCTACCATTTCACACCTACACATTAAAGGGCGAGCAGATGGATATTCATGGTCTGAGACTCGTCGTTGATGCTTAGTACGAGTGTGGCGGCCCTCACATCGATTTCCTCATGGTTGACAGTTGTCAAGAGGGATATCATCGCACAATCCGGAGTGGCGGCTTCGAAGGTCTCCTCAACCGTTGAACAATCATTGCTTACATTGCAGGACTAGTCCATGCTATAGTGGAGAGAGTTAGGCAGAACACCATGCCGCGGCGCCGACATGCAGACCAACGATGTCATTAGGCCGAAAGCTCTGGACATTTCGATACTTTTTGTGCTGCGAGCCGGTACGATAGGAATGATCTTCCACTGACAGCGCAGACGTGCAGCTATCGGGGTGGCGTCTCCGCCTGTCCAGAACAGCATCTTGCCCAGCGGTGCAGCGCAATTGCATGCCGCAGGCTGGCCGACACTAACAGAATCTAACTCTAGAAGATTGGGGGCCAAACTGATTGCACAGAAAAATTGTGTGAAAGAGGAAGCGAAGACCGCGGGTTACATGCAGGCTTGGTAAGGGATTCTGTCGGCATAGGTCATTGGCGTTTCTCACCGGCGTGCTGCTGCATAAACACGTCAAGAGCCGACCCTCTTCAAGCGCGCATGCCACCAGACGTCTACCCCAGACGCTCATCTCGTAGCGCCATCGCTTGAGCGATTTCTCTTCCCTTTCCCCGCCGATTCCCAGGCGTCTAAAGCATGCGTTGCTACTAAACCTTTGTCTTCGGCTATCTATCCCCGGTACGCACCTGTCATGGACTGGCGACTACTCGACTACGCCAAGGAAGCTGAGGAGACCGCAACGGGCCTACTCTCCTTCGAGAGTGAGATCCCCCAATATCGCAAAGACGTCAGGAGCCATATCGCAGAGTTGTTTGCCATATCGCACGCTCTACTCGAGCTGAACGAGGCGCTGGAGTCGTCCCGCTATGGCAGATATGCAGGCTTCATACGAACGGACCTGGAGGTTTGCCTCCCGAGCTTAGGACACACGCTTGACGATGTTCAAGAAATATTCACCAGGTCCAAGAAGAGCAGGCACGCTGCGCCCGGTGCTTTCCCCGGCACACCACCGTACGCACTCATCTGGGAAGATGCGCTTACGGATTTCACGGCGGAAGGCATGTCTTTACCCAAAAGATTCGAGATTGTTAGGACATATCTACAGTGCATGCACGACGCTCTGAAGGGGTATGTAACATTGGCGACATGTTCAACGGGATGGCTGACAGGTTCTAGAAACGAGGATGAGGCCGCATTGGCTAAATTCAAAGTCACGCTATCCAGGCTGCTCAAGAAACAAAAGCCAACGCCGATTGAATCTTACTTCAGTAAGCTCTCAGTGCATGGCAATGGGAAGAGTGGTGCTAGAACACCAAAACCGCCTTCCCCCAAAGTGTCTAGACCGAAGATACACCAACACCCCACGTATCCGGCAGCCCAGTACGGGTACCAGCCAGCCCCGCTACCGCTACCTCATCGATCTCATATTGCACCAACGTGGGGAGGCATAGGGGACATACCGTATATTCCTCCCCCAGTGCCAGAAATCCCTCAGTCGCCCACGTATTCGTCCGCATCATCACAGGCCTACTCGAACCAGTCGACGGATTCAGAGCCAGTCGCTCATTGGGCAATGAAGATCTTCGATGGACGACACGGCTCTACACCATCTCAAAGCCCCTCGGAGCCTACTGAGTGCTTCGGGAGAGATGAACCAAGAGTGATTGAGCTGTTAGACACCGATGGCTTTGAAAGGATTCTAGAACTGCCATTCGAAGCAACTGAGGTCTGGATAAGAATTTACTGGAGGGCCGACGACAACCGTGCACGAATACTCTTCCTTACTACGGATCACAATGGCAACCGTGTGAGGTACCAGGTTCCAATCACCGCATTAGCAGTACGGCGCGCAGGATCGTGCTTGCAGCTCTGTCGCATCAATCGCCAAGATGGTCAACTTGACCTGTGGGCTAGACTGCGCTTCCCTCTATACGAACGTAGGTACATTTGAGTCGCTCCTGCAAACACCCTCTAATGTTCTTTCAGGTATGGTACTTTTCTATTGTACCGCCATAGCTATGAAGCGCCAGGACCACACTCCCATTGCAGAGGGGCTCGAAGATGTTTTCCTGCCAGGAGAAAGGATTATGTTCGCAGGGTAAGTGATTGTCACTAATCTCCTGTTTCATGCTGACGCTACTCAGCGAGACCGTTGACGGCAAGTATCTCCACGTCTTCCGCGTCAAATACGATACGGACTCGGGCTGTGTACGGTTCGAAGCCACTGCTCGTCGCGGGCCTATGAAGGACATACCTATCTGGACGGCGTTCGTCACGCCATATGTCGGACGCGGTGACTGGATGAAGCGCGTCGGTCCAGAAACAATCCAGTTCGAGAAGCTGCATCCGTATGTCTTCAGTGATAGCTACAGGCTACCCAAAGGCCCTACGGGCAAGTACCGGTTGAGCTTTACTTCACCAGAAGGTATTTGAATTCCCATCACCTATACGTGTCCGATGCTGATACATAAGTTAGACGCGAAACAGTTCAAAGAAAACTTTTACCGCATGAGAGTCCGCTAGGCTTCCTGACGAGCTCAATAGAGCAATCCCGTTCGACCAAAATGTACGACACTCTCCTAATGTATGACGACATCACGACCAAAATCTATTAACGACTTCACGACATAACGCAAACAAAACTCTCACGCCGTAACGACGAGGGCGGATTCTGCTTTTGGCACGATATACCCCTCTCACTAGTTTCTCTGGTTGGATGTTGCAAATTGACACTATGCTGTTCTTGATGCTGTATTTGTCTTGAAGCCTTGGCCTTTATTTATCGCAAGTAGCATAATGGTAAAGAAAATTGGTTGCATGAACCTTGGGATCGACAGCAGAAAAAGTGAGCATCTTCGTGTCACGCCTCTTTGGGCCTAGCGTCCAAAGTCTCAGATGCCCCGCTTCCCACCGAGATTGCCCTGGTGAGACCCTGGACCGAGCGAGTCTGTGCT